TTTTTAGCAGGTCAGCAATGGGTTCAATTCTGGGTCTCTAAGGGCCCTTCTAAAACCCAAATTCCAATCAATAGATGAACTAGAAGAGGTCAAGAAAGTGGAGATTGGCTCATTTTTAAAACGTGATAGAGAATACAAGGACGGGAAGAGCTCCTTTAGCGGAATGTCTCCCACCCAAACATGATCCCAAAATTTCACGCAGTTACTGGAGCACATATCATAATTGATTAGAGGAAGGGAAGAAGGAAGGATGGCATGAATTGATTTCCGAGGAGAAGCTCTCGTAGCCCTAACTAAAGCTCCAGAGTCCTAGCCATCTGCCGCTTGCCCATGAATACTTAAGACCACTTGAGCCCATAATTTATCCCTTTCCAAAGTCAATCTCCAAAGCCATTTCCCTAGTAGAGCTTCATTTTTTTCTGCAAATTACCTAAAGCAAGCCCACCATCATTTTTGGTTTTGGTAACTATATCCCATTTGACCCTATGATCTTTTTTCTCCTCTCTTTGTTCCTATAAGAAGTCTCTCATTAATTTCTCCAAAATCCCACAAATTCCTCTAGGCATTTTAAACACCGACAAAAAGTACACTGGCAGATTTGCCAATGTAGATTTGATCAGAGTTATTTTGCCTCCCATGGATAGGTAATTTTTCTTCAAAGATGCTAACCTCTTAGTGAATCTCTCAATCACCGGGTTCCAGAAACTCTTTTTACTTGGGTTATCCCCTAGTGGCAGCCCCAAATAAATTAACGGCCATTGTGCGATCTCACATCCCAAAGTGCGGGCCCTATCCTTCACCTCACTTTCACTCAAATTAATTCCAATCACACAACTCTTGTCTAGATTAACTTTAAGATTAATCACCTTTTCAAAAACATTGATCACTTGCTTTAGGTTACTCACCCAACTCACCTCCTCCCCATCACAAAAAAGAATTGTGTCATCAGCAAACTGTAAATGTGTTACTGGGACCTTATTCCTTCCTACCCTCCAACCTTTCACCAAATTTCTAGAGTCTGCTCTCTCAATGAGTTTTCCTCGGACTTCAGCAATTAGAGTAAACAGGAAGGGAGAAAGGGGGTCTCCTTGTCTGATACCCCTGGTAACTTGGAAATGATCTACCACCCTCCCATTCACTAAGATGGAATAGTGGAAAGTCCTAATACATCCTTTCACCCACTTGCACCATTTCTGCCCAAATCCAAAAGACTCTAAGACTTCTAGTAGAAGTGACCAATCCACCATATCGTATGCCTTTTCAAGATCCAATTTGCACACTAACCCCTTCTTCTCACTTCTTTTGAAGTCTTCCACACTTTCGTTTGCAATCAGGATTTGATCCACAATTTGTCTACTCTCCACAAAGGCACCTTGATATGGGAAATTATTAAGGGTAGGACTTCTCTAATCCTCCGAGAAAGCACCTTAGCAATGATTTTATAAAGGCTGTGTACCAAGTTAATGGGTTTGAATTCTTTGGGGTGACAGGCATCTCCCTTTTTTGGGATCAGAGCCAAGAATGTGGAATTGAGGATTGGATTAATCACCCCCCTTTCAAAGAATTTAGAAAACACTTTTTGGATGTCATCCTTTAGAATCTCCCAATAGTCTTGATAGAAAGCCATCGTAAAATCGTCAGGACCAGGTGCTTTAGATCTATTCATTGAAAATATGGCTACCCTTATTTCTTCCAATTCAAAGCTTCTCTTTAACCACACTCTTGACTCTTCCGGTAGTCTTGGCCACTCCAAACCCTCAATCTGTAATCTGCTCGACATAAGCCTTCTAAAGATTGATTTAAAATGGTCCACAAAGGCCCCTTCAATCTCTTCCTGTTGAGTCAATATTGCATCATTTATCACTAGCTTGGATATCAAGTTCTTCTTCCTCTTGCCATTGGCTACAACATGAAAAAATTTTATTTCTATCTCCTTCCTTTACCCACTTATGTTTGAACTTCTGTCTCCAGCTAATTTCTTCTTTGAAGAGAACATCCTCCAGGTTTTTCCTCAACTCCCACCTAAGCTTCTTGTCCCTTTCCCCAAACTCACCTTGTTCTTCTTTTGCATCTAGCTCCTCAATCTGAATCATCAACTGTTGTTTTCTTTCCTCAAGCCTCCCAAATTGAAGAATATTCCATTCTTTGATTTTGATTTTAAACTCCTTTAGCTTCCACTGAAATTTCATTCCCTCCCAATTAGCCCTTGGATCACTTTCTACCCCCCATTCTTTCACTTTCTCCTTAAAACCTGGATGGGATAACCACATGTTCTTGAATCTGAACGGGATAGGTCCTCTATTCCTAGGATCCACCTTATTAAACAAAACTGGCCAATGATTAGAGGTGACCCTAGGCAATGTCCTTGACATCAGATCTCCCCAATATTCTTCCCAATGAGCAGTAAACAAAAATCTGTCTAATTTTGAACAAATTGGATCAGCTTGGAGATTTGACCAAGTAAACCGACTATGCGACAGATTCAGTTCTTTGAGCTCAAACACATTGATAAACTAGTTGAATTTCCTCATACTTGTAGTGTTTCTTTGCCGCATCTTGTTACACTCCTCAGTGAATCTAATTACATTAAAATCCCCTCCTAAGCACCAAGGACCTTCCCATAATCCTCTTATGTCTAGCTCTTCCCACACTCCTCTGCCTGTATCCACTGGGGCCATATACATTAGTTAATACCCATTCAAAACCATTGCCCACCTGTCTGAATTTAACAGAAACTGAGAATTTTCCAATCAATTCTTCAACTCCTTCAACAATTTCATTTTTCCACAAAGTCACTATTCCTCCAAAAGTTCCCCATGAGGGACTCATTGCCCAACTGATGCTGTTTGCTCTCCATACACTTTTGGCCCACCTATATTAAATGTCATGAGCTTAGATTCCTGAATTAGGAGTATATCTGGATTTTCTTTTCTCAGTAGCTCCTTTATTAACACCCTCTTTCTTGCATTCCCCAATCCTCTCACATTCCAACTCACGATCTTCATATTGCCTTCTTATTCTGTCCCTAACCTGCTTTCTTCCTATTTTTCTCCTTTCCTACCCCTACCCTTTCTCTCACTAATTTTCTTATCCCCTTCCACATCTTGCTTCAGCCTTTCAACTTCACTCACCTTTCCTTCTTCTTTTCTATTCTTAAGGTATATTTTCAGCTCATTCAGATTTTTTATTTTACATTCCAATTTTCAACTTCATTCATCTTTCTTATTTTACTTCCATGATTTTCTTCCAGAAGGAGCACCCCAGAGAGGTCACAGAAGTAGTGGTCACCCAATCCCCACTGTTTGTGTTGTATTTGGCTGCAACCAAGCTCCTCCACCAACTACCTCTTTCTCTGCCAAATCTCTAGATACACTTCCCCAGAAGAGCCTTGTTAAAGGCCTTCATTTTCCTGACTCCCAGACTTCCTTTTTGTTTTGGGACACAAACTTGATACCAGCTGACCAAGTGAATTTTCTTCTCCTCTTCCCACTCTTTCCATAGGAAGTTTCTCTGCAGTTTTTCCACTTTTTGGGTCACTTTCCTTGGCATTGGGAAAAGAGATAGAAAATAGGAGGGCAGATTTGATAAGGAACTTTTTAGAAGTGTAATCCTACCACCTAAAGAGAGAGATTTTGTTTCCAGGAAGCAACTTCCTTTCTAACCTTTCCAGCACAGGCTCCCACAGTAGGATGTGGATTGAAGATTTTCAGCACTTGGGCCCCACAGGAATTTTTGACAAATGCTGAACCTAGACCTACACATAGTGCACCCCTACTTGATCTGCTGTGGATATTGAGAAAATTGAAGTGCAACCTGATGATACTCCTATTGATCCAAACTATAAGATGAGTGCTCTTATGGACAACTTATATGGGATAAGGGTATGTGTCATTGGGTTGATTGGTTGGCTGTTGTATTTGAGATTAACTTGGCAAGGCATCTATTATGTTTAATGTTTTTTATTATTTATTTATTTTTTGCATTTTCGGCGTCTTTTTCTTTTTTTTCGCTTTGCTTTGAAAAGGCACAACCTCGCTTTGTGCCTTGGGTGCAAATTGCCCCTTGTGCTGCTTTTGCGCTTTCCGCTTTTAAACGTTGGCTAATCCATTTGTTGTTTTTGTGATCCATTTAAATCTAATACCAATCTCCCTTACTAGGGACCATACCTCTCATGGTTTGCCTATAATTTGGCTAATCTATTTGTTGTTCTTGTGACCCATTTAAATCTAATACCAATCTCCCTTACTAACTACCATTACCTCTCTCATGGTTTGCCTATAATTCCATATTTCCATGTTTCCCAATTGCATCCAGTCCACAACAATCTTAGAGTCACCTTCTACTTAATCTTCTTGGAGATCTTGTAATTACTTTTAAAACACTACTGATCCATATTGTGACAAACAAGCTAGTAGAACTCACAATCCTGACCAAAATTCACAATCTTATTTGCCGTTTGTCAGATCAGAAATGCAGTTGGCGATGTTCTTAATAAGGTAGTAGTTAAATCTAAGTTGGAAAGCTGGGCATCTTAAACATCTATGTTCAGATTGAGAGGGGGGGATGTATTAGGGGTATATCTATAGCTTTTCCTTTAATTTTCTTGATAAATAGATCTGAAAGAGGGGTAAAGATCTCAACAGATTGAATTCCCAAAACTTTTTCTTCTTCTTCCTCTCTATTGTTTCATCTTATTTATAGTTTATTTTTAATCTACAACACAACTATTCTAAAAGTACAAGGAGAAGGTCAAGAGAAACCTGAGTTAGGTAATGATCAATGAGAAACAACTTGATGGTTCATTTTTTAATTGAGGATATGGTCGTGGATATAAAATAATAGAGTAGGATTACTTGTTAATGTTGTCATATGAAGTTCTCATTCAGAACTTATTATGTTGAAGTTTTCTTGGTAAAGGTTTGTATATTGTAGCTGGTATAATTTGTATTTTCTTGTCAATTTCAATTTCTTTGTATTAATTTTGATTTAACATGATACAGATATTTAACTGATCAGCTGCAAAAGGTTCAAATTGTTAATGAAGTTAACAAGGTAAATGGTCTTTTTCTTGGCTTCTGCTAGATGTTCTCACTTTGATACAATATATCATGCATTAAATGTTGTCACTTCTATTGTACCCTGTTGTGAAGGATTTTGTAATTGAGGCTCTAAGATCCGTTGCTGAGTTAGTAACATATGGTGATCAGCATGATCCAACCTTTTTTGAGTGAGATTTCATCTTGTCCTCTTCATTGTTGATTTTCTTACGCCCTAATATTTATTTATTTATTAATAGCCATGCTTCTTCTGCAGGTTTTTTATGGAGAAGCAGGTTATGGGGGATTTTGTACGTATATTAAAAATTAGTAGAACTGTGAGCGTTCCTCTTCAGTTGCTACAGACAATGAGTATTATGATCCAGAATTTAAAAAGTGAACATGCTATCTGTAAGTTGGTATATAGAGTTCGGCCAATTTAAACAGGTCTTTTTAATTGCTTCTTTCGATTTAGCTATTTTAATGTGTTTAATTTTTCTGGATGGCAACATTTGCAGATTATATTTTCAGCAATGAACACATAAACTATCTTATAATGTATTCCTTTGACTTTCGTAATGAAGAGCTACTGTCGTATTATATATCCTTTCTGAGGTTTGTAATATCTAGTTCCTTTTGTTCTGATTTATCTAATTTGTATTGATGCCATATTTTATTTCCTTTTTGTAAATACGAATGCTAATTTCCTTGATTTCTTTTGTTCGCTTTGTATTCTCAAATGGATTTGTTGCGGTGACAAAAGGGCAATTAGTGGGAAGCTGAACAAAAGTACAATTTCTCTTCTTGTGAAGACTCAAAATGTATGTTCATTGCATACTTCTGTTTGTTGTTGGTTCTCATCTTGTTGCATTCTTTATGATGGTTGTTATTTTTTGGAGGATGCAGGGCATCTTGTTGATTGATAAAATAGTAGGGTTAGTGGTGTGAGGTGCTTTTTCTTATTTTGTTATTTCTTTTTCTATCTTGTATTTTGGAGTACTTTGAAGGGGCGATAGAGTTTGTTTCTTGAAGGAGTTGTGGTATTGAGGAATCTTCCTTTTGCTTGTCTTGGTGATTATCTTGTCGCCTGGGGTTGAACTTCCTTTTCTTGTCTTTTTAATGAAATCTTCATTTTACTATAAAACCTATAGAATTATGCATTGATTTGATATCCTGTTTTTTAGTGTTCCTTCCTGTTTTAATGATCTTTACTCAAGTTATTTTGCTTTGGTGGATAGTCATAGAAAATTTATGCTGTCCATCCCTCCATTAAGGGTTCCTTTAGAGGAAGTAATACTGGAGGTTGCTGAACCTTCAGTAGCCATTAATGTCTTTTTCGGGAGCTAGAGGTTAGATGGGGATTTCAATAGTAAACAACACACCAAACAAGGACGACAGTACTTCAACCAACTGTGAATAGACATCAGCTTATAGCAAGGAGACAATCAGCCCCTACAACTCCAAACTGTGACATTCACAGCTATCACACACTTAGATATGAATGTAACAGTACATATCTGGAGTACAGCAATGCTTTCACGATCCATAGTCCATAAAAGATGGGTGTAAACCTTAGAGAATGCTGCTCATTGCATTCTGCTGTTACCACCACACCACAGAATCTCTTCTTGGTACAACGACCAAGAGAAAAAAAAAAAAGAAAAGGGTAGAACAAGAGTCTAGTTCGGTCCGATGGAGTTTTGTCTCTTCTCCCAGTCGAAAAAAGGTAAGCCCAGATGAAGAACTCGATCTGAGAAGTTTAAGCCCAGATCAGTGCTCTGATACTATGTAGTCCAGCAAGGAAGAGAGAAAAATAAAGTAAGAAAAGAGAGAAGATAGGAGAAGAGAAGAGAAGAAGAAAAGAAGAAGAGAAGTGTTCTATTCCAAAAGTTGTAGCTGGCAGCAGCTAAGTTGGTATTTATACTTAGGGCGACAACTTATAATTAAAAGAATGGGGAAATACCAGAAATACCCCTACAGTAGAATGGGGAAATACCAGACAACTTATAATAAAAAGAAGGGAGATAAGGGATCTCCTTGTTTCAAACCTCTTTTTGCTGGAAAGAAATTTCTAGTCACACCATTAATCAAGATTGAGGGGTGCACTGAGCTTAGACATCCCTTAGTCCACATCCTCTAACACTCACCCAGACCATTTCTCTGTAGTATCTCAAGAAGAAAATAAAATCATAGGCTTTTTTTTTATCAATAACGAAAACTTTCATTAAGAAAATAAGGGAGTACAAAGTAAACTTGGGGGGGGGGGAGCGAGGTAAACTCTCTTAATTCTCCCTGGGAAAAAAACAAATTCAAGATTACAACATAGCCTAGAACATTTGTTCCTTTCCCACTCCTTACTTAGCAAGAGTATCTGCAAAGGAGTTGGCACTTCTCTTTACCCACTTCAGCTGAATGTCCAAACCTTGTGCCAGCTGGTTGAACATTCTTGTTTTTTTTTTTTTTTTTTCATCAGCAGACTTCCATAAATAATCTCTTTTGCAGCCATCCTATAAATAGTTTTGAGTCCCTTTCAACAATGAGCTTATGACAGTTCAGCTTCTTAACCTTCTTTTTTCCTTCCTTCCATCACTGCCAAGATCTCAGCTCGGAGTGATTCATCTACACCAATAGGACCAGAAAATAAAGTAACGACTTTCTTGTCCTCATCTTTGAAAGTCCCACCAATGCTATAAGGCCCTGGGTTACCTTCACTACTTCCATCAAAGCTCAGTTTGACAAAACTAGAAGCTAGTGGAGACCAAAGGGGACTAATCTTGGTTTTGGCAATTAAAATCTGATAAGTTATTTTCCTATTACTTACAAAAGCACCTTGGTTCTGGGAGATGATGTAAGGAAGCACATTTCTAATCCTCCTCAAAAGCACCCAAGCAAAAATTTTATATAGGCTGTTTCCCAAGCTGATAGTGTGGAGACTCTGTAACTTGATGTGCCTTACTAGTATAGTCCCTGTTGTATATTACTTTTACATCTTATTCTTCTTTTCTCTTTCATCCCTATATGGGCATTCTTGTAATTGTACATATCTTTTAATATATAAGAGACTCTTTGAGGTGGGGGTCATTTATTCTTGACACCTCTAAGATTATTCGTTTTCTTTTCTCCATTCGGCCAAGAGTGTTGACATGGTATCAGAGCAGGCTGCTCTCTGATCTATTTTCTTGCTCTCTTAAACCTCACTGGAAGCAGTAAATCTGTTGTATTAGGGCTGTTTCGATCAACCCTTTTTTGTTCTTTCTTCTTTGCGCAACCAGCATGACAGATTTCATTAGATCTCTCTTGGGAGATGTAGAGAACACTGATGTGGGTCCCACTGCAGTGGTCCCCACTGTGTTCGTAGGACAGCATGTGTAGTTATTTGTTTCAGTTATAGTAGTGTCAGTTTGAGTCAGTTTGTTAATTCAGTTGTTATTTATTTCAGCTTTTATTTACTTTATTTATTATGTAAGTACTAAGGGCAGATGTGTCATTT